TCCTGCTGGCACTTGCTGGGGAATGATGCTCTGTACAGCCAGGAGCAGAGAGCTTTGAAAAGCAGGGACGTGTGCCCCTGGCACCGTTTTGCCAAGTGCTTTGGCATCATACAGGGCATGAATGCACCGGGTCTGGATCTGGTTGTTTGCCAAGTCCTTTGCTCTGCTGGTCCTCTCTGGATCTGCATGTCACATCCCCGTTGTGGGGACCACGGCCTCCCTCGGGTCATTTCTCTGACTGTGTCACCTCCCCCAGCTCAGCTGCTTCTTACCTCTGAAGAGCACAAACCTGCTGGGAAGAGGAGGGGGTCCCCCCCATCCCAGGGGATGCTGCTGGCCTGGGGACCACGCAAGGCTTTGGGCATCTCAGTGCCTGGCCGTGCTAGCCCCGGGACACGTGGCTCGGCCTCTCCAGGCTCTGCAGGGGCTGGTGCAGGACTTTCCCATTGCAGGTGTGGGGTCCCTGCTGGCCCGATTCCAGCTCTCAGAGGGGCCCAGCACCCCGGCCCCCCTGGCCGTGCAGTTCACCAGCGAGGGGAGCACCCTGTCCAGCTGCGACATCGAGCTCGTGGGTGCCGGCTACCGCTTCTCCCTCATCAAGAAGAGGTTTGCAGCAGGTAGGTTCCTCACTGGTAGGGGTGGCAGTGTCCCTGGTGGTCCCCTCCAGCCATGCTGGCATGCCTGGCACTCTTTGTTGAGTGGTCAAGCCCAGAGGTCCCACCACAGAGTGGTGGCTGAGGGGCAAAAGCTCCTTGCGTGAAAGAAATCCTGGCACAGCTCGTCAGAGCCTGGAGTTTCATGGGCGCTTTCCTGCTCGTGGCTCCTGCACAAAAGGCAAGGGCTGGAGGTCTCCAGGAAGAGCTTCAGCTCCCTTGCTGCAGAGAAATACCAGGATTTGCCCCTGTGCCCCTCGTGGGTGTGAGGTCTGGGGAGGTGGGGAGCCAGCCCCTGGGAACTGGGGCTGCTCCATCCCCTGGGAATCAGGGCTGCACCATTCCCTGGGAATCGGGGCTGCTCCATTCCCTGGGAATCAGGGCTGCACCATTCCCTGGGAATCAAGGCTGCACCATCCCCTGGGAACTGGGGCTGCTCCATCCCCTGGGAATCAGGGCTGCTCCATCCCCTGGGAATCGGGGCTGCTCCATTCCCTGGGAATCAGGGCTGCTCCATCCCCTGGGAATCAGGGCTGCTCCATCCCCTGGGAATCAGAGCTGTGCCATTCCTTGGGAATCGGGGCTGCTCCATCCCCTGGGAATC